TGAAGAAATACTCAGTGCATCATAGGAATCCCCCAGCAGCCTATGACAGCATAACTAAGGGAGGACTCAGGGTCACGTGATCCAGCCCTAACTATATCCTACTGTCATGGCTGCTTAATTGATGGCTGTCTGCCTTTATTGAAATTATGTGACAACTGGTATGTGCTGCTGTGAGTTGCAGACCGTACAAGCTCTGTGCTTTGTTTTTGGTGAGTGAAATTATAGTCATTTATACGTCTATTACTAACTAGAAGATAGCACATGTGTTTCTGTGCATTCATAGCAGCTTGCTAACCAAGCTTGCTACCATCAGCTCATACCTCATACTCAGCAAATATTGTGACATCCATCATCAAAAAAAAAGGTTCAAAACCAATGGGTGGTCATCCATCTTTTATATACAGTCTATTAGGCCCACTAAGGAAATATCAAATCAATAACTGAGAAAAGAAGAAAACTCAAATGAATCCATGTGTTAAATTAAAGTTAAATTAAAGCTGTTCCTGTTTCTGCAGTGGTCTGGGACCAGTCTGCGTTCGTTTCCAGTGTCTATGAGGCACACAGTGCAAAATCTGGTTCTGTTTGTGTGCCACGGTGTTCGTACTGCCATCAAAGCAACTCGGTGGTTGTTCACAACACTTTCGATGAGCTCTTCTCCTTTGTACCAGGGTGCCGTGTTCTGGTGTACATGTGTGGCCCCCTGTGTATGCAAACCTTTTATTTTATGTTATTTTTAGCACAAGCTGTCTGCCGTGTCGAAGAGTTGTAGAGCTTTCACATCATGTTGTATCTGCCCTCTGTGACTGTCATTAACTCTGTCCTAAATTTCACTGCAGGGCCCAGGGTGGAGCTGATGAAATAACACAGGATAAATACAGATTCTGCTTCATCAGTCACTATTTCTTTCAATTTACCTGAAGATGAGTTGTTTTTTGTTTTTAAATCTGATTTGATGAGTAATAAACTACCGTGCAGTGCTGTCAGCAAGATTATATTGAGGCCTCATCCCTTCTGAGGCATCAAATCCCCAAAGTTCTCTGTTTTAGATGCTAATGTTGTGTCTTTTCTTGTAGCCAAGGAGACAAACTAAAGAGTAAACATGATGAAGACAGCTGATTAATTTTACCCAATATAACGAATGATTTGTATCGGTTAAATTGTGTGTAATTAAAACACCCATGCGACAGGTCCTCCTCCCTTCAGCAGCAGAGATTTAACAGCCATAGAATCAGTCTCTATGATTTAACCGTGACCCCCCATCCTCCCTCGCATTCATCCAGCCTCCTCCTCCTCAGCTGCCCATCTGTTGCATGTGTCCCGGCACCTCCTGCAGATATTCACAGCAGTAAATCTTTAGCACCACCTGGTGGCTGTGACACTGAGCTGTATATTTCACTTTGTGTGTGCTTAAAAGCTTTTTACTCTGTTAGATGCTGGAAAAAGAATGCAACATTTAAACTTTTCCCTTTCCTGTAAAGCAAGAATATGCAGCAAGCCTCCACTCAGGTTAGCAGACACACTTTACAAATTACACAGAGGATTACAAAAGTAAAAACAAAGAAACAATTAAACATGTGTTATCCCTCCTGTATTTTCAAAAGAAAAATCATGTTAACATGATTAGAATTCAACATAATAAGAGCAATACTACAATAAACAAGCTTTGAGGAGCAATACTGACCCTGCCTCATAGGAAGAAACAACTATGCAGTGTGAAAAAAGGGATGTGTTGCACTAAAGGCAGTCTCTCCACTGCCGTGTGTGTGTGTGTGTGTGTGTGTGTGTGTGTGTGTGTGTGTGTGTGTGTGTGTCCACCCCTGTTTATGGAATTTTTACCCAC